CATCCCAAGTTCTTGCAGTAAGTGAGATGTAAAAGCAACTCTTCTCACTCAGTATCCATCCTGAGGGACAGCAGGTATCTAAAAACCAGAAAGAATGTGACAGCACAGCCCAAACCCAAGAGGGAGATCTCCCCATTTGGGATGAAAGTGAGGACTCTGCGACCTGGTTGCTCACAGTGTCCCCCTCAGTCTAATCTCGGCACCTTTACTGACTTCTAACACTTGATCTTTGCGATCTTTCTTTCTTCGGCCTCCCCTAGTAATTCCATTCCTACACACATTTAGGAAAAGCCTTTGGTATTCAACAACATCACTCCTTAACAGGCTGGGAGCTTTATTTTCATAGGGCTGATGGTACTACTACCGATTTCTGAATGATTGCAGTCTCCCCCCTACACCTTGGCTAACCTCACCTGGGCCTCCCATAAGTGTTCAGTAGGCTCTAATTCATCTCAGTAGGTCCCTAAGCATTCCTCACTGCATATTCAAAACTTTCCCATACTCCTCAAGCTGCTAGCCACCTCCCCTTTCCTCCCCACTCTTCCACAAGTAATAACCTTCGTTCCTGTTCTGCTGAAATTGTCAGACACTTGATGTGAACTCTCTCCATTTCCTTCCCTTCCACCCCAAAATTTGTCTCTTCCCTGCTCCTCTGTTCCTGATCATAAGAAATAAACATCCCTCTTTCTTCAACAGCTTTGTTCCATGAGTCCTACCTCCATCACTCAAAGATCATTCCTTCCCCACTCGCTCCCTCTCTTCTGTCTACATTTTCTCATGTCCCCACCTAGCTACTCTCTTGCATTTCTGTCCCATGGCAACTAAAAGGAATAAAAAGTCAGTGTGGCCACCATGGAAGAGGCTGAGAGGATAAGGGTCATGCTGAAAAGTAGGCAGAGACCTTGGTAGCCAGGTGAAGGACTTTTATATTACAAGGAAGAATAAGTCAACATGGGGTTTTACATAGAGGAGTTTTGTTCACTGGCTGTATCCCAAGTGCTTGGTCACAGCACTGGACATATAGTATTTATTGCATAACTTTTGATGTAATTAATTAACTGGAATGGCATGATCAGATTTTGTTTTTAAAGGATCACCCCGGCTGCAACATGAAACGTGGATGGGGGAGGGAGGTGTGGAGGGATGTTTAGGAAAAACAGTGCAGCAAGCTGCCACAGTTATCGTTGCAGAAGATGGGGGTGGGCAAAAATGTGAACGAAAGTATAGATGCAGGGGTGGGAAATGGAGGGAGTTCCTCCGCCGGAGTCGGGCACTTGACTCTCGGGCACTTTCTGCTGAAAGTGACAGAGAAGGTGGTGGAGTAAGGAGCTATCGTGGAGGGCAAGCCACCACTGCACAGCTGCCAGGCAGCATTGAGGGACCGGCTGGGATGGAGACTAGAGTTCTGGTGGCACCAAGCAGAATGACCGCACAATATGGCACACGTGGGTGCAGGCATGCGCCAGGTGGGCACTTGAGTTCATCAGGTATCAACTCTGGTGCACCAGAAGGTGTAAAGGAACAAAGGAGCGAGTGGTTCAAGTGATGGATAGAGAAGTGCCAGCTGATGCAAAGAAAACAGGAGAGATAGTGGGTTAGAGGCCTCAATGAGGTTAAAGACGTGTAGGGAAAGCTTGGAGGAGGTGGGTGTGGTCAGAGTGGAGGTCTGAAGGAGAGCCTGGGCCTGGCGGGCTCAGTTGGAAGAGCATGCAACTTTTGCTCTCAGGGTCGTGAGTGCAAGCCACGCGTAGGGGGTAGCGATTACATCAGTAATACATGCATACGTACATACATAAAGAGACACCCGGGTGGCTCAGTCAGTTAAGAGTCTATTGACTTCAGCTCAGCTCATGATCTCACAATTCGTGAGATTGAGTCCCACATCTGGCTCTGCGCTGACAGGGCAGAGCCTGCTTGAGATTCTCTGTCTCCCTCTCTCTCTCTGCCCCTCCCCTGCTCGAACTCTCTCTCTCTCTCTCAAAATAAATAAATAAACCTTAAAACAAACAAACAACAAACAAAAAACAGATCTTGGAGTTGAGATCGGAAACCAGCCTTTTAGTGGAAGAGCAGTTTAGGATGCTGGGACCTAGGGTGTAGCTGAGGGAACGCGTGACAGCACTGCACGGAACGGAGAGTCATCGAGAATAAGAAGGCTAAAGAAATGAGGACTGGGTGTGTCTGCACATAATCTTACTATCTTAAGCCTTGGGGGAGTTATCCAGATGCCCCCTAAACTAGACAGAGCCTAACCTGGACCATAGGTCACCAGTCCGTGAACATTCCAGTTGCCTTGGCCCTGGCACCTCTAATCTCAGCCTGCTTTTTGCACCACCTCTCTCCTTTTATGTGGCCCCCTCCCTCACCCCCACACACTGCCTGGGCTCCTGCCTTCAAAATAGATGAACACTCCACCCCAGTTCCCTACCCCACATTACCCACCCCCACCTCATTGTGAGTGCCACCCACACTTGAGAGCTTCAGCTACTTTGCCCCACCGCGCCTCATCAATCACTAATTCTTAACCTTTGAGGAATTTCAGATGTAGTGAGAAATAAAGCTATAGACCCTCTCTTTAGAAAAATGTGCAAACAACCAGTTTCACATCCAAATTCAGGGGGTTCCCAGATCTTTGACTCTGATATCAAACCACATGAGACCTGAGTTTGGTGCTTTGGACAGTGAGATCTGCATTGCTGGCTGCCACCCTCCTCTCCTGGAGGATCTGCCTCAGAGCTGGGTGAGTCGCCCTAAATCCAGTATGCAACTTGATCCTCCTCTCTGTTAGCCAAGGCTGCACAGCTTGTGTCAGCCACCACTCTGATTTACGACCCCTTTCCTCAACAACTTAATACGGCCCCTGATAGATAGATCCTGCCCCTGCCACGAGTGTGTCCTCATTTCAATCTGTCCCTCACGTACACCCTCCCATCTTTCCTCTCCCAGAGCAGATACCTGATAAGGGGCATGTGAACAAGGGCTTCATTGTATCCTTCATCCGGCTTAGCCTCTGCTCCAAGGTCCTCCTCTGTACCTCCTCACTTTGCAAGGCCTCCTTGGTCTTCTCCCTGTCAGACTGGCAGGCCTGTAACTGCTCTTGGGTAGCCTGGTGAACCCTCTGTTCCTCCTGTAGTGCTTCCTGACTCAGGGCTAGTTCCCTCTTGGACCCCTGCAGATCCTCTTCCCTCTTCCCCAGCTGGGTTATCTTTAGGTGGAGCTGCTGCCTCAGGCTGCTGTTAGTGGCTTCCAGAACACTGTTCATCTGCTGGAGCTGCTGAGATACCTGCAGATCTGTTCAGCCATAATGAGATTTGGAGGACATCTTCCTCAGCCATGCTCTGGTGCCCTGAGACTTCAGCATCAGTCTTTTGTCTGCTCTTGAAAATTTTTGCATAACAGGCTGAAATATAGGATCTGACTGCCTAAAGCTTAAGGAGGTACTGGATCAGGTAAGGACAATTTAGGAAGACACGGCACTCTAAAACAGACCTGGCTGGAAACCAGACCAAAAGCTAAGGGAGGTGGTGGTGACTGGGGGCCCTGCCCAGAGAAGGGCAGCCGCTGGAGACAGTAGGGGAGAAAATTGCTTGGGGTAAGTGGGAAAGGGGAGACGGCCATACTCACAGCGCACTCCCAGGCAGATGGCGGCCACCCCTAACAGCAGGCAGGCGAGGAGCAGGCCAAGAAAGAGGTACAGCGTGCAGGCTGCGCGGCCTTAGGGAGACAGTGGGATGAAGGGCAGAGACCCCCACGAAAGTCTATAGCCTGAGGGGCTGGCTGGGTGGGTGGTATTCATGGGAAAGGGCATCCCTCAGAGGACGTGGTGCAGGCATGGTGGGTTTTGTCGGGTAGTGGGTTTCCGCAGGTAGCGAGGGAAGATGTTCCAGAATAAGGGCTGGGATTGCTGCTGGTAAGGATTGAGGGGCGTGTCGCTGGTAAGATGGGAACTAAATCTCAGACGGAGACAGAGGACGGGGATATAGGAGTGGGGACCATCGTAACGGGGGGAGACGGGAGGATCTAGGTCAACCTGTGGGAAAGATATATGTGGATATTGGGGGTGAAAAGGCCGGGAAAGGGGGTCTCGGGGCTGCCCGCGCAGTCCGGAGGGCTGTTCCGGCAAACTCTTGGTACCAGACCTGCACACCGCCGGACAGGGCACCAGCCCAGCTGGGACCCCGCCAGCACTTCACTTCGCTATCACCTCCCGGGGCGGCAGCGCCGGGTGGGTGATGTGGGGGCGGCCGCCCAGCGGGAGGCCCAGCCGCGTGCCCGAGCGCGAGCCCTGCGGCGCGGGGAGGGCGGGGCGCGCAGGTGGGGAGGGCTCCGTACTCACCAGTGAGAATCCTCCCGGCAGCTGGTGACGCCACGGAGCTCCAGGACGCAGTTGGCTGCTCCGCCTGGAGCCCTGCGGACCGGTGGCTACTCCAGTCTGAAGACGGGAAGCCCCGGGAAATTCCTTTCTTTCCGCCCTCTCCTTCTCCACCGCGCCGAGAAGCCTTCAGCGACACGCTAGAGTACTCTGGGACACGCTTAGCATTCTCTGGAGTTCTGCCTCTCCCCCAGGATTCTTGTGTCTCTCCTGGGTCTTACTATAGCCTCTCCCCGGGGATCCCCTCCTCTCCCTCCTGGGTCTCTCCTTATGTTTTCCGCAGCCTTCTCCACCCCCCCCCCCCCATCGGCCTGCCCCAAATCCTCTTCCTGGAAGCGCGTCCATCCCCCTCCCCTGCCCTCTCTTCTCTGTCCCATGACTCCCCACTTCCTATTCGAACTCCTCTCCCCACAGGGCTGCCCTGACCCCTCCCCGGATCCCTTGTCTCCACCTTGCCCCCGGGGAGCTTTATTTTTCCCTGGCTCCCATTTATCCAGTGTTCAGTATTCTCTTTCCTAAGCACCCCCTCCTTTTCCAAGGGTGTTGTTCCCCCCCCCCCAAGAATACTGTGGACTTGCAGCTCGAGACACAGCTCTCCTCCCCCCCCGCCCCCCCCCCCCCCCCAACAGACAGGCTCTGAGCTTTCCCTACCTGCTTTGTCCCCTACTCCAGAAGAGGCCAAGCTCAAGGGCCCACCTGAGACTGAGACTGAGGGCACTTGTACATTCTCGTAGGTGAGTTCCTCATCTTCATCAGCCTCTGGGGCAGGAGAGGAGAGAAAAGGTGGAGGTGGGGTAGAGTCATGAGGGAGCATAAGGTTGCAAAATCAAGGAGATGCTTCTTCCACCCTTACCCTGTCCTGACCGGCTGGAGACGCTCTTCTTCAGGGGAGCCTTCACAAACCGCAGGTCTGCATAGGTGATGGCCTCAGCCATGGCCCTGAGCACCTCTGCTCCCACCCTTCTCCCCCTTCTTCCACTGGCCCCAAGCTTCCCTTGACACTCTCCCCTCTGTCCCTTCACACTCTTAGGCTCTGTGTTCCTTCGGTGACTGCACAGCTTAGTGCTTTACCCTGTGACTTCCAGTTACAAAAGAGGAAGATGTGAGCAAGTCTCAGACAGATGGGTTCAGTGAAGCAGATGGCATCCCTAAGCCTCTGCCAGAGGGACAGCCTGGGAAACTGAGGTCCAGAACATGTGGGTAGAGGCTGGAGGTGTCAGGGCTCACTACTCAGGCCTGTCCCTGTGTCCTGCCTGTGCTCCCCCTGCATGCATCCCAGACCCATTTTGGCAGTACTGGGCTCTAAATGCCTATCCTCCTGATCATCTACCCTGATTTGCCCCATGCTCTTCTCTTGGCTGCTCTGTGCACGAGCTTATCTATGTGTTGTCAGAGCTCTTTTGTGCCCAACTAAACACAGAAGATGTCCCCAGTCATTGCTCCAGAATGGAACTCCATCCTCTCCATCACACCGGGGTATCCTACTTTGGAGCCCGTGCTCCTCCTCATCCTGCGGTTCCTAGCAGATGTAGGTTCCCAGAAAGAGGCCCTTGATTTGGTGGGGCTCATTTCCTTATCAGTTTGGGGGCTTTCAGGGTAGACTCAGCTCCCCTCCAGCTGTACTCCTACAGGGCTTCTGAGGATCTCACACATAGGAAGGTTCTCACTCCAAAGCCCTTCCTGAGAATGTGGCAGCCCTTTGGAGGATGCAGAGGATCTGGGGCCACACTGCTTCTCTTCTATAAACTCCCCCAGACTCCCTCTTCACAAACTCTCCCTGGCCTTCTGGACCCTTGTTCCCTTCTGACTACATGTTTGGCCAATCAGCCCCTTCCCCATCCGTCTTGCCCCCTGCTGGACTTGGGACATCTGAGCTGGATCCAGCAAGCTGAGTCCAGGAGGCAGAAGCTTGGGGATAGGCCTGGGCTGGGGGTGAGGATGAGGGACAACCCACAGCTTGTGCACTTTGGGAAAAGCCTGCAGCACGGACCATATATACTCCCTTGTGGGGGGTCAGGGAGCAGGTGAACAAAGGAGTAGTGTGGCGGTGAAGAAGGGCGGCAGCTTCTCTCAGAAGGGAGGCAGGGAAACAAAGCACGGCTGGGTCCTGAGTGCACGGACTCTGAACCTGAGGTTTTGATATTTTCTTGTTTTGGTTTTAGTTTTTTTCTCTTACTTTCCTTCTAAAGGTCTTCCTTTAAAGAAGAGTCTCAACATTGTCCCTTTACACCCAGCCCCAAGGAAAAAGGGGGCATTCGTGGGAGAAGAGCAGGGGCTGGGAGGCCCTCATGGGTGCCAAGGGCCTAGCTGAGAGGGAGACCAGTGGGGGAGGAGGGGCTGTCGAACAGTAGTTCAAAGGTGCTCCCTAATGTTCTTTTACCAGGATGTGACCCCAAAGGGCTTACTTCCACAGGTGGGAAGAAGCTGGAACAAGACAAGGTATGTAGGTGGGAAAAAACCCACTTGCAGTGGGTGACGTCTGCCCCCGCAGAACCTCTTCACACACTGCCACCTCTGTGGGGAGGAAAAAGGAAGGGGAAGGAGGTCCTCACCACACGCTAACAGCCGTAGTGTATGACTAGTAGTGTGTGGAGGAGTGCTGTGATGGGCCCTATGGGTCTGTTGAGAGCTCTGCCCAATAGCACCCCACAGCCCACCCACACAAAGGGCCCACTGAGGTAGAAAAACACGTTTGTCACCTGAGGAGAGGCAGGCATATTGCCTGTGTGTGAGTGTGCACGTGTGTACATGCATCCCCTGGTCTTTGCAGGATGTGGGGGTATCTGTGTGAGGTGAGCATCTATGTCAAGGGCTGCTGGGAGGATGAAGCTCTGAGGATTCTGTGGGCTGAAGGGTGCCTGTGAGAGCTGTTATTTTTTTTCATGGCAGGGAATGAGAGGCCATTTTCAGAAAAGTCTTAAAAGGTGATGGGGACAGATTATAGAAGTATTTCTTTTTTAAGACTCACTGTTTCCTAAGGTGTCCCTGCAGCTGTTAACCGTCCTTGCTTAACTAAAGTTTCCAACAACCTTGTCCCCTCCCCCAGTCACCCTATCAGGACCTCCTCCAGATAACAGAGGACAGTGTGTGTTGGTGGCTCCCTGGGGGCCCGTGGGGCCTAAGAGAGTGAGTGGGAGCACATAGAGCAGCTGGTGGCATGGGTGGGTGGGGGCTGTCAGGGTACTTGTATCTGTGGTGTATGGGGGCGGGGCAGTGTGTACATAGATCCGTTTTGCAGGAACATCTGCAGGAATTCAATAAACTATAGATAATATCCCCGTTTTCAGAACCAATACACAAGCGAGCAAGGCCTGGAGGCCAGGTGAAATACCAAACCAAGTTTCCAGTATGTGCTCAAAAAAAGAACCAATGGATATGCTGCCTAAATGGGACCTTGGAGAGGCTTCAAGAGAGAAGGTCCCCAAATGCACCTGGAGTGAGCTAAACTGCACATCCACAATGGCATAGACAACTTAAGCAGTCTTGGTCTGTGTCTCTGTCCTCCTTAGCTCTTGTGGGGATGGTTACACATCTCCTTATGACGTTCTGCTTTCCCTTCCGATGCCTTCTTTTGTGAATAGGGTGTGAGAGAGGGATCCTTCTTCCCCACATGTGTCTTTGCAATATTGACATTCACATTACCTTTCAAGATTGGATATCAGAAAGGACGCCTGAAACTCGTACTGTGCCTCCACTTGCCCAAATGTCAGGAGAGCCTGGGGCCTTTTAAGAGCTGAGAAGCCAGTGCTGTTCATTTCAGCTTTTCCATAACCATTATATCATATGAGCACAGACACCAAAGCCCATTTCTTGCTCTCTCCTGGCCTCTCCATTGTTTGTTACAGGGACTCGGTTGTAAAGGTAGATAACAGGAGGCAGCCCAGCGATGAGGACAGCAAATGAGGAATTTGCTGTGTGGAAAGGGGCTCATCTGTATAAATTTTGGTGAAGTCCAGCCCACATCAAGAAGTCAAGGAAGGCTTCTGAGACCCTGAAAACCAGGTTGTATCCAACTTCATTACTTTAGTCCACTGGCTCTGGGAGGCTCTAATTTATAGACAGAGCATGGTAGGCAGAATAATGGCCTCTCCAAAATGTTCACACTTTAATCCCCAGAATCTGTGAATATGTTACTTTACTTGACAAAAATGTAAATGTGGTTAAGGACTTACTACATTTAGTAAAAACATCCAAGATATGTTAAATAATAAGAATAATAACAGGCATCTCTGTCTAAATTTTTTTTTTTAATGTTTATTTATTTTTGAGAGAGAGAGACAGAGCATGAGTAGGGGAGGGGCAGAGAGAGAGGGAGACACAGAATCTGAAGCAGGCTCCAGGCTCTGAGCTGTCAGCACAGAGCCCGACGCAGGGCTCAAACTCACAAACTGTGAGATCATGACCTGAGCCAAAGTCAGACACTCAACCAACTGAGCCACCCAGGTGCCCCACTAAATGTTTATTTTAATGGAAGTGGTTTTAGTATTTCACCCTTGAGAACAATGTTTGCTGTTAAGTTTTAGTAAAAAGCCTTCATTATATTTCAGCAGTTTTCCTCTTTTTCATTTTTACATAGAATTTTTATAAGGAACTATATTAAATTAAGCTGGCTCTAACTATTAAATATGGGAGCTTTTCTTCTTTTCCTATAGTTTTGACTAAATTAAATGGCATGGAAGCTATCATTATTTAAGAATAGATAAAACTTAGTTCTGGTGTCATTTGAATGCAATCTTTTCTAAAAGTAGGCCTATAATCACCTTTTTATTCTAGTCTTTTCTAAGATAAGTTGAGCTATTCAAGCTTTCTTCTTTCTCTTGGGCCAATTTTAGTAATTTACATTTTTCCTAAAATGTGTCTATTACCTCTAAATTTTCAAGTTAGTTGATGAGGAATTTTATTTATTATTATTATTTTTTTTTTTTTCAACGTTTATTCATTTTTGGGACAGAGAGAGACAGAGCATGAACGGGGGAGGGGCAGAGAGAGAGGGAGACACAGAATCGGAAACAGGCTCCAGGCTCTGAGCCATCAGCCCAGAGCCCGACGCGGGGCTGGAACTCACGGAGCGCGAGATCGTGACCTGGCTGAAGTCGGACGCTTAACCGACTGCGCCACTCAGGCGCCCCTTAAAGAACTTTTTAAAGTGTATGCTCTTTAGTATTTTTGTTGGTTCTCCATTTCATTCATGTCAGCTTTTGACATTTCCTGCTTATTTTTGGTTTCTTGTTCTTTTTGTAATCTATTGAAATAAGTACTCCCCTTTCTCTCTCTCTCTCTCTCTCTCTCTCTCTCTCTCTCTCTCTCTCTCTTAAGCTTGCTATCTTTATAGCATTTGGGGCATATATGATACAGGGCAATTGAGATGGCATCCAGTATTACACTATTTTTTCATTAAGCATTTAAATTTTGTAAATACTATAATTTTGTTCTTTTTTAAAACCAGCTTTACTGTATTGTAATTGACACGCAATAAATTTTATCAGTATTAAGTGTACAATCCTATGAGTTTTGACAAATGTAATTCAGTCATTTAACCACCACCACAATCAAGATCCAGAAGATTCCCATCATCCTAAATGTTCCCTCCTACCTCTTTGCAAGCAATCCTCACACCACTTCCAGCTGGTAACTTAAATTCCCCTTGTTGGGTACCAGTGTTACCACTGCTTTCTCTTTATCTGCCTGGTGTCTCTTTCCCATATCTTTAATTTGAATCTTTATCACTTTGCCTTTTTTTTTCTTTAATGTTTATTTGTTTTTGAGAGAGAGAGAAAGAGCGCATGTGAGGGGCAGAAAGAGAGGGGGACAGAGGATCTGAAGGAGGCTCCTCGCTGACAACAGAAAGCCTAATGTGGGGCTTGAACTCACGAACTGTGGGATCATGACCTGAGCCCAAGTAGGGTGCTTAACCCACTGAGCCACCCAGGTGTCCCTTGATCACTTTGCTTAGAAGAAGTATGTTTCTTCTAAGTAGCATTGACCAGATTTTGACTTATAAGAAAGTCTTAGAGTCTTTTAATGGAAGAATTCAGTCCACTCATATTTACTATACTGAGTGATATATTTGATTTATTTCCATCTTACTTGTTTTTGGATTTGTAAACATTGTTGTGAACCCTTCTTTACCTTTGTTGGAGTGAATGAATGGCTATTCATCCCATTTTCTCCTTGTTAATTTGGAGTTTGTCGTTCTATTAATAGTTACCATCTTTTGCCTTGTTCTCTGAAATAGATGCACATGATTGTTCTAGTATGTGAAAACAGAACAACTATTTCCATCATACTTTACTTATCTTCTACTTCCTCCCCACCTCAATAAGAAATGGTCTTTAGACTACTTTCACTACCTTTCCTCCTCCTTCCCCCCCCCCACCACCCCAGATCCTTGGAACACTTACCTTTGACTTACCCTCACCACCTGATTCCAGAGTTTTCTTGAGATGATTCAGTCCCTATTAGAAGTTCCTTTACATTGTACGTGTTCCTTCTGTTTCAAGAGTTTTAGCATTTATATGATGTACTATACATATATAGAAATATAGATATAAATATATAGATCATGGTTCGTTGCACTCCACCGTTTTCTTTCCTCTTCCCTTGACCTTCCCCTATCTTGAAGTCTGTTCTAATTCATTTGTTGTTTCATTAGAGCCTTTTCTTAAAAGTATTTCTCAGATGAGATACTGACTAATTTTTGCAAATCTTCAAATATCTTTCTTTCCTCCTTTAACTAGGCCCTGGTTGAAGGCCTTTTCTTCCATTAACTCACATTCAGTTTTGCTGTCTTTTAACTTCCAGGGTTGCATAAGAAGAAAGAACTTTCTTTCTGCTTGGAAATGTGTAAGATTTCCCTTATCCTTAGAGTTCAGGAATTTTAACCTGTATAGGGCTGTCTTTCTTCAGCTCAGGGAAATTTCACCTATTATTTAATCATAACCTCTTCTCTACTGTTCCTTTTCTCCTGGAACTCACAGAATTTGCAGGCTAAATCTCCTCGGTCTGGTTCAGTCTCTCATCTTTCACCACATAATTTGCATTTCCATATTTTTGTTAAATGTTTTGAGATATTTCATCTGTTTAATTTTCTGGACCTCTTTTGGGGTTTAGGAGTAACCATCCTCTCCTTTGGTTTATGTATGGAAATTTCTAGTTCTGATATCACATTTTCTAGTTCAGGGAAATCTTTTGTGTTTGACCTTCACACATATCTCCTCCAGGCTCTCATTCAGTCAGAGATTCATTTGTTCCCTCCAGCAGGTCTCTCTGCCTTCTGGTTTGTCTGCATTCTCCTGGCCTCAAAGGCCGAGAATTTCAACCCACCATTAGTTTTCAGAGAGCTGGAGAGATTCAGCAAAGCCACTGATTGTTCCTGGGAAGTCGGCTGTTTCTGGGACTTGCTGCCTTCCTGAAGATCCTTGTTCTTGGCTCTGAGGCTGTCCTCCAGAAACTGGTCTGCAGGAAATTCTCTCTGCCAGGAACTCAGAAGAGCCCATTTAAAGTTCGTCCTCTATAGCTGGGAGTCATCAGGGATTGTGGAATGGAGAGGATTTCCATATACCCAGACTCTCATACACCCAATGTGGGGCTCAAACTCAGGAACCATGAGATCATGACCTGAGCCGACGTCGGACACTTAACTGACTGAGCCACCCAGGCGCCCAGCACTTTTTTTTTTCTTTAATGTTTCTTTATTTTTGAGACAGAGAGAGAGAGAAAGAGAGAGTGTATGTGCACTTGAGCAGGGGAGGGGCAGAGAGAGAGGGGGGCAGAGGATCTGAAGTGGGCTCTGCACTGACAGCAGAGAGCCCGATGCAGGGTCTGAACTCACAAACTGCAAGATTACAACCTGAGCCAAAGTTGGACACTCAACTGACTGAACCACCCAGGTGCCCCTCAACCCCAGCACTTTTAACTTTTGGGGACAGAAATTCTGTATGATGAATGGCTGGCCTGTGTGTTGTAGGATATTCAGCAGCATCCCTGGCCTCTACCCACTATATATCAATAGCACTCGCTCCCCAGCTGTGACAACTAAACATGTCTCTGGATGTTGCCAAATGTCTCTCGAGGGGCAAAATCACTTCTGTCTGAGAACCACTGTTGTATACCTTTCGATTCTATTTGATTTTTATAACACATGTGCTCACACTATTGCTCAGTACTCAGTGCAATACTGAGCACTATTGCTCAGTGCTCAGTAATTAAACATTTAGCTGAGATCATGAAATAGGGGAGAAAATATGAAGCTGTTGTGAAGGAAGCAAAAACAAGAAGTAGAGAATTTATAGTAGAAGATGAGGAAGCAAGTTAGCAAACTGGGAAAAAATTAGGAATAAATAAAAGAAGCAGAAACTCTGTCAGAGAGAGTATCTGAGTTATGGGACAGGAGGAGCAGGAGTGGGAAGACCCATGTACTCCTTTCTCCAAGGTCCCCAGTGATGCTGAGATCTGAGATCTGAAATCCAATAACAACAGTCTGCAGATGCCCAACCATACGATAGCCACTATTCGGTGATTCCCACTCCATTCAGCTTGTTAATTGCCCAGGTGTCCCAAAAGTAAACACCCCTTCACTTTTAAGCTAGGCTAAAGGAGTGTATTCCTTACAAACAAAGCCCATAGACTTAGTGCCCAATGAAGAGATGGGTTCTCCACTGTGTGCTGTCAGTACTATATTCACTTCTTAGCATAATACTTTGAGAGAGACTCTGCTTGGGCACCTAGGTGGCTCAGTTGGTTAAGCATCTGACTCTTGATTTTGGCTCAGGTCCTGATCCCAGGGTTGTGAGATCAAGCCCCACATCCGGCTCTGCTTGAGAATGGAGCCTGCTTAAGATTCTCTCTCTCCCTCTTCCTCTGTCCCTTCCCTGTTCATACTTTCACACTCTCTCTTAAAAAATAAAAAGTAAATTAAAAAAAGAGAGACTCTGCTCAAGCAAAACAGTAGGAATGATGAGTAGACTTCACATAAGGTCTGTAAAAGGAACTCTAGAGAGCTTTTTCTGGGAAGGTGGGGGAAAAAAAAACTTAGGCCATCCATCAGAGCTGTCATGTACAGGAGGGAGAAGTGTGCTTGTATGATTGTAGCTCAGGAGGCAGAATTGATGACAAAAATAATAGGGGGGCAGCTTTTGGCTCCAAATTAAAAAAAAAAAAAGTTCTCTCAAAAAGAAAGACTGGAAAGGAGTGCTTGTAAGGTAGCGAGGTCCCTATTTCTGGAAATGTTTAAGAAGTTGGTAGAGTGGTTCCTGCAGTGGGTATAAGCTTGGGCCAGATCTGTCAGCCTCCTCCCAGTTATAGAATTCTAGATATTTAAAAACCTGGAAAGAGGCACACACTAGGCAAAATATTTTAGGGTCAAATGGAACAACAGTACATTTAAGTAAGGCAGAGGAGGGTGGCTGGTGGAGGAGTTGAGCAATAAGGGAAGATCTCAGAGGTTCAGCATCTTCCGCTGGCCTTGGTGTGCTGGTCTTTCCCCCCACAGAATTAGTCAGAACTCGTGGTTGCAAGAGATAGAAAATCTAACTTAGAATGACTTAAGCAAAAAAAAGAGAATGCATTAGCTTACATAACCAAAAAGTTCAGAAGGCAGACCTAGCTCTGGTCATGTCTGATTCCAAGGTTCAGATGAAGTCATTTAGATTTGGTCTCTCTCCATGTCCCAGCTCTGTTTCCCTCCTTAGGGCCAAAACAAGCTTGGAAGTTTAGACTCATCTTGACGGAGTACAGAGCAAGGCCAAAGATGGGAGGGGTCTTGGCTGGATGGCTTCCTAAGCCCCGCCCACCTATAAGTAATTCCTTAAGAACTTCCAATCTTTGAGCATTTGGCCGTCCCAAAAACCCTTCCTCTTCAGATCTTAGGCTTATCCTCTATCCTCTTAGCTGGAATTTCAGGAAGAGGGAGAAAGCTGGGGCTCCAGAGTGGCTTCCCCTAATGATCCGCCCCTGGGAATTTGCCAGGAACAGGGCACTTCTTATGGCTAGAATCATAACCAGTCAGGGAAGGGAGGCCACTAAGGAATGCACTCCTGGAGCTACAGAAGGGGAGAGAACTACCAGGTATTTGGGAAAGGAGTTGACCAGCTAGAGAGATGAGGCATGGGAGTCGTCGTACGGTGTCTGAGGTGGATCCGGCTTCCCCAAATTATGTTTTCCAGATACAGGGATCAATGAGTAAGTTGCCACAGTCCTGGCCTGAGGGCCTGAGGGCCTATGCTAGGGCACGAACCTCGGTGATAGACAAGACAGTGAGAAAAATTGAAAGGTTGTAGGGATCAGGGAACCGCAAGTTTGGCGCTCAGCGAAGTTCAGGGCTAAACTCGGCGCGGGGGGTGTGGGGGGGTTGGATAGGGAGGATGGGGGGGTGGGGAACGGAACTGTCGGGACTACATTTCCCAGCATGCCGCGGAGGGGCAGCTGTACGCATGCGCAGAGGTCGTGGCAGGCCCGCATGATGCCTGGCGGGGGCGCTCGGAGTTCGGTCGTGAGCTGGCGGAGACCTCAGCAGACAAGGGAAGCCGGTGTGGGGGCGGAGTTTAAGGACTGGGTTGGTGGTGGTACTGGCTCGGCTGCAATTTCCGGCTCGTCCCAGAGGTTGGGGGACCCCAAATCCCTTCTCTTACAGAGTCAGGCTCTCACGTACCCCAGACCGCGGACACATTGAGCAGTCTTCAGACTAGCAATTCTCAGAACCCCACACCCCGCTGCCAATGGCTCCCTGCATCCAGTGCAGACCCCGGAAGCCACCTTCCCTCCCACACAGCCTCAGCTGCCTGCTCTTTACCGCGACCCGACCGGGGCCTCTTCTGGGGGAGGTCCATGTTGGGGTCCTCAGAGGTCCAGAAACCCGGGGCATTTGGGTTATTCTGTGTGTGTGCAGAGGGTACCCCATCTCATTGGGATCACCAGGCTGGGCTCAGGCGCACCGTTCCCTCCTCTGCTTTTCTCCGAGACTGTGAGTGGGAATGAGAGAATTTCAGAAGTAGAAGCCTCGGCTTCCACTGTCTTCTATCCGTGAAACCTCCAAAAGGTCTGTCAAGCCACACTTGCCTCTACAGAGGCCGTAGGAAGATGGGTTGTGGTAGACCTGAGGTTGTGGCTGGTGGCAACGCAGTCATAGAGGCCATGGGGAGAGTAGGTTGGGGGCTGGTGAGCTCCAGGTGATAGGAGTGGGGTGACTGCACATCCTGGCAATGTTCTAGCAGCAGCTTGAGGAGCAGGGCTCTTGCCTCCACCCCAGCACCCACCCTTGGCACTGTTGAGGCCACCGACCCTCTTGGTCCATCTTCCCCAGCTAGGTGCCCCCGGAAGTGCTCTGTGCAGACAGCAAAGCTCACACCCCTACAGTGTGGGGCCTGTTGCAGGTCTGTAGCTCTCTAGATAAAAATCTAAACACTTTCTGAGACGTAGAAGTTTTATTTGAAAACTTGGGGACACAACAGAGGCAGCAGGATGTGGACTGGTATTCTCCTGCCAGTGTTCTCAGATAAGAAGCCAGGCTTGGGTTCCTCAGGTCACTAGATTCCAGGATCCCTCCAGACTATGGGCTCCTGAGGAGTATACCCATCCTTGTCCTCTCAGGCTGTTCCCCTTTCCACCACTGCCCACTTCCTGTGTCTGAGGGAACACTGAAGTGTTAGGGGTAGACTTTAAAGGAGCAGGAGTGGAGAGGATCTGGTTAAAATCCACAAGGAGGAGGAAGTGAGAACCTAGGAGCTTGGGGCCTTAGAGTAATAGATGGGGGGAGGTGGATGGAGAGGGGGCCACTGCCTTTGTTTCCTCCCTTCCCAAGAAACTGGGGACCTACTTACTGTTCCCCTGAGATGTCTCCCTCATAGCTCAGATAGGAAGTTTGGGGAACGTTACCTTCTGTGACTGGGCAATGGCTGCATGTCTTGGGTGGGGGTGGGGGGCGGCTGGGAAACAGTCATTCCAGGGACAGGGTAGCAGTAGGCTAATGGAGGCTGGGGCGATGCTTGCCCCACTCTGCCAGGCCCTCCATCTCAGCTGGGTGCAGGCTGGCTATTGGCATAAGCCTGGTCTGGGAAGGAAGCCCGCGCTCTGCGGGTCTGGGCACACACTGAGGCATAGAGCTCAGGCTCAGGGCCTGAGGCCTGGGGCTTTGGCTCAGAATCCAGCACCACCTCTGAGTACTTGATGGGGGTTCCAGGGCTGGGGATACGGCCCTGAGAAGGCCGCAACTGCAGGCTGGTATAGCACATCACTTCCTCTGCAGCCTAGAGATTCAAAGCTGTTAGAAGTTCACTGGACCCTTGGAAAAGCCCCCACTTCCTTCCCTCCCCTCTTCCTCACCACAAATGACTCACCGTGCTGGGGCCTCTAGGCGTTGGATCCTGCTGATCTGGCCCTGGTTCCTGAGACAGCCGACCTGAGACAGGGAACAGTAGTGATCTGGTTACTTCTTGTTCCTCCTCCTGCAGTCCCTTATCCCACCCACCCAGGACGTGCGTGGCCTCTGTGCCCCTCCCCTCTGTCAGCTTCCTACCAGTCTGAAGATAATGCAGGTTCCCATACAGAGGGACCTCTTCCACAGACCCTCCAGGGCTGCAAGACAGAGATTAGAGGATGAGTGGGGACTTCTTGGTAAGGAGGAACTCTTGATCACCTATCTCTGTTGTCCCCTACTCACCGTCTCTGTCCTGGGTGGCTCTGGCTTCGGCCACTAGTCCATCGGAACAAGTGCGCAGCCAGTGAGATGAGAAGCAGCAGCATCGCAGCCCCTAAGAGGGCCCATAGTCCCCAGGCCTGGGCAATGGAGGGGATTCCTGTGGATGCCAGAGGATGGAGGGCATTACTGCCCAACGCAACCCTCCAGGTCCTAGCAAGTGGGACTTGGGACCATGTGACCCCTCCCCCTGCCCCTGCCCCGCCCAGCTCACCGGGCACTAGCTGATCCGAAGTGTAATTGTCACATCTGCTCCTCATGACTGCTGATGTGGGAGCCAAGTCTGCAAGTCCTGTGCCGAAGGGTCAGCCTGGTTTACGACCTGATAGCCGCTGCAGGCCCCTTCACTCTCACCCCTCCCTGGGCCTGGCCCCCACAGCTCAGCATCTCCAATACTGGTGGTGGCAGAGTCACTGGTTTCCGGGGAGGAAGGGGGAGGGGATGGATGAGTGCAAGAACAAAGACACCGCCCTGTGCCTGCACCTGCGCCACCCAGCAGCTTCCAGGCTTCCGCCCCCACCCTTTGTGGCCCTGTACCCCCTTTGGCCAGAGGAGACGCAGGCCTGAGATTACTGTGCCGCTGTGCAGGTAAGCCCATAAAGACTCGCAGGGGACAAAGTAGCATGAGGCAGGACCAACAAGACAAGGAAGCCACACCTTATGACAGAGATTCCCTTCTGCCACAGGCGTCTGCCTTTTCTCTCCAACTCTGAGACCCATGCAAGAGAATGTATTCCTCACCGAGCATGCTGCAAAGAGGAATGGGACGGGGAGGCCTCCCGATACCTACAATCCCACCACACCCTAAGGCTGACTATAGGGGATAAGATCACCATTGTCATTCTTATTATTACTGGTATAATAGTTTAGGGGATAGAGGAAATTTAAATTCTCTGCTCCAGACCCACTTCATCCAAACTGTCCCTAAGAACTGTCAATCTGAAAAGTTAGTTGAATTAAAGAAACCTCTGCCCCAGTACTATCCTGGGAAACTGAGCCATGTCTTTGCACTTGTTCACTTCAGGGAGTAGAGTACCTGCCCTACCCAGATACAGACCAACCACATGGGATGCTATTGACATGGGAAGAAGGATTTCAAGTTCCTTAGACCAGAGGTCAGTGATATGTCTGGCCAAATTCCCTAAAGGCAATGATCAGTTGAGGACCATTTATTATATTATACCTGGCCTGAACCACCTGTTTACATTGACTGTGCCAGTTGGCTTAGGTTCAAGGTTTGGACTACACTGCTCTGCAACCAGGCTGCCTCCTGATCATCAGCTAAACTATGACAACTCCCTTGAGTGTGGGTCTCTCCTCCCTACCCTGCCCCTTACCTTTCTGAAAGAACAAGAAGATACACTCTTATTCCATTCATTTCATTAACATACATATACTTCATTCATTTAAGTCACACGTGCTGATTGCTTGCTTATGTGCCAAGCTTTGGAGATAAAATTGTGAGTGGGAAATGGTTTTCTTCCTCAAAGTGCTCTTGATCTAATTAGGAACACGACCCTATGTATCCCAGACAATTAAAAGGCAGCGTGGAACACAGGGAAACTACCCAAGTCTGCCTGGAGAAGTCCTGGGTGGAAGAGCTGGGGGTTGGGATGATATGAGGTGCCTGATAGGGAGACAGAAAAGAGTTGGAATCTCTGACTTGCCTCTTACCTGTATTGTACCTGATTAACTTACTCAGCCTTCCTGAACCTTTGTTTCATAATTCTTTAAAAGAGCTTAATTATATTTACCTATTGGGTCATATTTCTTTCTCTTTTTTTAAATTTTTTTTATGTTTATTTTTGAAGGAAAGAGAGAGCGTGAGTGAAGGAGGGGAAGAGAGAGATGGAGACACAGAATCTGAAGCAGGCTCTAGTCTCCAGGCTGTCAGCACAGAGCCCCACGTGGGGCTCGAACTCACAAGCTGTGAGATCATGACCCGGGATCATATTTCTTTCAACAAGGATTCATTGAGTGCCGGCTAGCACCAGGTGCTATACTTAGCTATAGGGATAAAATGATAAAGAAAAGAAATATGGCCCCTGCTCTCCTGCAATTAACAGTCTAGCAGTATCTTCTTTTTATAAGCAATTTTCATAGAATAATTGACTTTTAATTAACTGATTTTAATAAACCAAAATGGATTTTTCCAATTTTATTAAGATATAATTGACATGTGATAGTGGTTTTGATCAGGGAAACAAAGGCAAGAAAAATGTAGTTCAAATTTCCTTACAGCTTGCAAGCCCACTGATAGATACCTGAAACATGCAGAGCGTGCCCTTCCTCAAAGAACTCGTAGCTGCCTTAATGCCTTAAAGTTTATATTTTATTAAACGCTAAAAGTGACCTTACTTAACAGCAACTAGCCCCTCAAGGTCCTGAAAGCCTTGCTTCAAAATTCCTTAGAAACTTACTTTACCTCTATGCCCCTTCCCTCCACAAACTTAAAAGTATATAATCAAGTCACTCCTTAACAATCCCAGTACAGTTCTTTCTGCACCATCCCCATGCTATAATAAAATCACCTTTTTGCACCAAAAATGTCTCAAGAATTTTTTTCTTAGCTGTTCTCTCATGAACGCCACTTCAAATTTCATCAGTTTGAAGAAAGTACAATAGTTGCACTAATGAATAAATTAGAAGTTAAGGGTTCTGGGGGCGCCTGGGTGGCTCAGTCAGTTGGGCCTCCGACTTCAGCCAGGTCACGATCTCGCAGTCCGTGAGCTCGAGCCCCGCGTGGGGCTCTGGGCTGATGGCTCAGAGCTTGGAGCCTGCTTCCGATTCCGTGTCTCCCTCTCTCTCTGCCCCTCCCCTGTTCATGCTCTGTCTCTGTCTCAAAAGTAAATAAACATTAAAAAAAAAAAAAAAGTTAAGTAAGTCTCAGTGGAAGGTGCCCAGGAGTTACAATTTCAAGTGCCTGACTCAAAGCAGCTGCTCAAGTTAAAATCACTAGTAAGTAGGCACGATTCTAAGCATTTTACTTGAATTATCCCACTTAATCATCATAACAGCAGTGAGGTAAATCTGTGTTATCACTACGTTATCACACCGAGGAATGGAAATTCCTCAGAGTAGAAACTAAGGCACAGAGAGAATTAAGTAACTTGACCAAAGTCATTTAGCTTTCATAGGGGAGGCAGGATGCTAGTCCAGGCTATCAGTCCACATTCTACTATGTGCCATGGTACACAATAAATAGTGGCTATTACAGGCATTTTTGCCCATTGGAAAGGGTAGAGAAGAAAAGGCCGTGGCAAGAAAAGGGAATTGCAAAATACATATATAATAGCGATACAAAAAAAAAAAGTGTCCGCCCCCCCCTCCCCCCATTGTGGCTCAGGGCATAATCTTACGGTTTATGGGTTCGAGCCTCAGGCTCTCCGCTGACCGAAGGGAGTCTGCTTGGGATTTTCTCTCTCTTCTCTCTTGCCATTCCCCTGCTCGTGCGCTGTCTCCCTGTGTTAAAAATTTTTTGTTTAATGTGTTAAGCCACACGAGGAAGAGGTGTTTCAATGGCTGCAGGAGCCCTGCCGGGGGGCTTAGACGATGCCAGGGTGATCCCCACGCGTCCCAGCTAAAGTCTAAATGTCTGTGGCATATACCAAAACTACAGCCGCACTGAGAATGAGCCCCGTGTGGTTGGTGCGCACAAACGCACTGCCTGCGTAACTAGGAGAGCTGACTGAGGACACACCCCTGCAACACGCCGCTCAGCTCCCCCGCCATACACGGGGGGATCGCTTCTTGGCGGACTTTACAGTGAAACACAGGGAAGGTCTACGTGCGCATGCACGTGGCACTCTCTGCCCGCGGTCCGGGGACTTTCCCCTAGGCGTTAATAAGGAACAAGTCCCCCGTTTGTAGCCTAGGAAACAGGCCTTCAGCACGAACTGTGCAAACACGTGCAGGCTCTACTCTTTTATAGGTCCAAGATGCTATTCATTATATGGTTAGGGTGAATAGATTGGTAGCATGAGAAATAAAAACGGCTTTCCAGCATAATCTTACAAAACTGTAGACTTCTAGAAGCTTTCTGATTAATAGGATTCCTAACTAGATAAGAAATGAATTAATTTAGGAAAGCAGGGCTAAAGTCCTATGCTAATAAGTCTGCCCCGCCCACACGCTGAGTGGGCGTGGCCTCCCAGTGCAGCCGCGAGCAGGACCCACACACACTGCTCCGTGTACGCATGCGCGCTGGTGCTCCCGGACAACGCTGGCGCCGCTCGGGACCGTCATTCTGTGGTCTGCAATGGCGGACTCGGTTTCATGTGTGGGTGTGCTGGGGTTGCTACTTGTGTCTGCACTGCCCGGGGTCCTCGGAGACCGCTCCAGCCCCGACCTCCGGGCACACCCAGGTATCAGCGAGGGCTACTGGAGGGAGGCTAGGACTGCCCACGGGTCCCAGGCCCCAGCCCTACTGACCCGCCTCTGCCCTCCTCCGCAGGAGACCCCTTCCAGGTCGGCCCTGAGGCCGCGGAACCCCGGCGACGGCCGCCGCCCAAGGACCAGCGCGAGCGGGCCCGGGCCGGGGCTCTGCCTCTGGGGGCGCTGTACACCGCAGCTGTCGTGGCTTTTGTGCTGTACAAGTGTTTGCAGGTGCGGGACGACCAGGGGTGGGGATACCCCGGGCCTGAATTTCCCATGAGGGCGCTATGGTACCATGAACAAGACACATCTTTCTGTCTGTAAACGAATATAGTAGAGTTCCTTGGCTTCCCAACATTATGGGGTTATTTTAAGCACCCATCGAGGTAGCGGATGTGAAGGGCATTTGGTAAATTGTAAATAAATAACGACCACCACATTTAATCCTCCCGACAATACAATGAAGAGATTAAGTCACTTGCTCAAATTTACCGAGCAAGTAGTAACTAGTAGGGCTGGGATTTGAGCCTAACAGCTAAATGTCCATACTACAAAAGTGGCTCCTGGTAGGATTCCAGTCTTGACACAAGGTGTGGATTGCTGTAGCCAGCGTTCAAGGTACCAAGCAGTTTCATGTTCACCTTAGAAAGGAGGCCCTGAAATGTGAACTGACAGAACATTTTGGTGTATTGAAATAGTTGAAATGGAAAGTAGTACCTCCCAGGGCTCTGTATTCAACCCCAGCCCTATTACTTATTTGCATTGGGAAATAGGGGGCTGAACCAATTTGGAGAGGATACGAAATTAAAAGGGATAGCTAATCATGATTCCAAATAGAATCATGGACAGGCTAGGATGAGGGACCGGATTCACTGATGACATTGAACTAGAAATGATAATATATTCTATTTTTGGACCCACGTACTGTCTGGAGGAAACTTAAGTTAGGAGTTCATTAGTTGAATAATAAAGTTCAGTTGTGTGATGTAACAACTTACCACTTCCCAAATCAAAGCTAGCAACAAGGTATTGCACTGTATCTTCTGCTCACAACACTCCTGGAGAATTTTATTCTCTTCAAGGTGCTACTTAAGAGTATTATGTGCTCAGTAGAGCAACCAGAGAAAACCATGTCAAATGAGCACCAATTCGTTTGAATAAAGTTGGCATTATTAACCCAGAGAAGACAATGGGGAAGGGCAGTGGGCAAGGAAGATGGTCTTCCAATTCCTGAGTGGCTATGATGTTGAAAAGACAGGATTTTGGAAGGCACCATGGAAAGAAGAGACATGAAGGACAATTTTTGGTTTTGTATATAAACTAACCACCAGAGCTTTATCAAATTGGAGACGGCTGCTCATTCCCGGAGGCGTTTCTTTAGACTCCGTGACTGTGGGGGGGGGGGGGGGGGCATACTGACCTGCTTCAGGTCACAGGTGAGGAGCTTGACTGGATGTGATTGTGATTCTCTGAAGTAAAGACCCCATAGCTTTCTCTACAAATTATCCACGTCTCGCTGGCTTTGGAGACTGAGGTGATGGAGAACCTTGTTGCTGCAGTATAGCCCTCTCCTTCTTCTACAGCAGGGGAAAGATGAGAATGCTCTTCTCCAAGAGGAGGCAGGCAAGAAAGAATCACTGCAGTCAGGTGGGTTTTGCACAAGTCTGTGTTTGGTGGGGGATCAGGGGACAGCAGAAGGCATAAATAACCATTGCTCTCCTTTCTCCCTTACCCCCAGAGCAACAGTTGGCCCAGTTGACACAACAGCTGGCCCAGACAGAGCAACACCTGAACAATCTGATGGCCCAGCTGGACCCCCTTTTTGAGCGGTAAGAAGAGCAATGAGCCTGGGGCCAGAGGAACTTGTGATAGGTGGAAGAGGTGGGGACACGTACTGGGTAGCCTCTGAGTGGATATTTCTGCAGTGTGACTACCCTGGCTGGAGCCCAGCAGGAGCTTCTGAACATGAAGCTTCAGACCATCCACCAGCTGCTACAAGAGAGCAAGCCAAACAAGGGTGTGGAGGTTCCAGAACCAGGTAAAAGGTTGGGAGGTGAGAGTCTGGTGGAGGTAGCGACCGTTTCTGAGACAGGAATATTCCCGATCTTTCCCCTCACAGAGGCCAGCATACCCTTTCCTGAGGACTTATGTATAGAGGAGGAGGAGGAGGAGGAGGCTGGTGACAGTCAGGCCTGGGAGGAGCCCTTGAACTGGAGCACAGAGACAAGGAACCTAGCTCCTCCCTGGGAAGTGGAGCAGGGGCTAAGGAGAAGATGCAGCAAGGCTGTGGGAAGGGCCGCGGCCGCAGTCCCCGCCTGGGAGGAGGAACGACAGCTGAAGGTTTAGTAAAACAAAGTCTGTTCTTGTGACTGGATATTCCTGTGTGCCTTTTCCATTCCAGCTGGCCATACACACACCCATACTAGGTGCCCAAGAACAACTGGGCCTTCTTGAAAAGCTTCCCTTATTAGGACAAAACGAGGCCACCTTCCAGTGTGAGAGCTGATAGATAGAGGGAGCTCTAGTTCTTTTCCTTGTATTCCTGAGGCCACCACCATCATGCCAGCCTTCCTGGCACAAAAAACCCTCTTTCTCAAATCCCAGAGCTGAGATAGAGAGGCCTTTCCAAAAACGAAAACAAAAACAAAAACAAAAACAAACCACTTTACTAAAATCCAATGGGAAAATAAATTATAGAAACGCATACAACATAAAAACATCCACGTTTACAAAGCTGTAGTCTTGATGAACGACCAGCTATAAACACAGCACCGGGCTTATCAGTCCCAAAGCCCCTCATCTGTATCGGAGGGGGTGGTTCAGCAGAGGTTCAATTGGGTCGGACTTTGTTTCCTTATTCTTAGAGGCTGGTTGGTCCCAAACAAACACAAAATGACCCTTCTCAAACCATGAAGGGTTCTGTGTTTTGGTTAGTACTGAAGATTTCTTTGTACTCCTGACTCTGATCTATCCCTCAAGTATCCTGGGTTCTGGAATTTGTAAGATTCCTCTAGCTCTTCTGGCTGCTGTGGAGAGAAGATGGTCAGTTCAGACACTGGCATGAGCACTCTATTAAGACAAAATCCCTCATGGCATTGGGGGTGGGGGCGGCCCAGCAGATGGAGGACCTGAGATAGGATTAGAACTGCTCATTTCTAGCTCGTGGGTCTTCCTGAGGGAAGACACAACTTACCTGATGGCCAAAGTCAGACTGTGGTGCCAGCGCAACAGCTCTTCCTGGTCTGTGGACATAAGCAGTAGCTTCTCACAGGGAAAGGACAGCTGGGGAGAAATCACCTCTTAGTGCACAGTTCAGAAAGGTCCAGGCTAAAGGTGAAGGCCTTGCTGTTTCCATGGACGTAATTTCAGGCTGAGATGAGAACTAACTATGAACCCCAAACTCCTGTTATCTCAATATAGGTGGCTTAGTTCCTCTGAAGGGGGCCCAGGCCCAGGAGATAAATTAGGTACACAGGTGTTTGAGGTCTATTTTGAGCCTCTCCTACCTTACCTCGGGCTCCCGGCTATAACTTACGCTGAGCAGTCCACCACAAGGGCCTCCTGAGTGGCCAAAGACCCTGTGGAGTTGACACTGGGCCATGGGGTAGAGGGCACGGCAGGCAAAGGTGCCACTCTGCAGCAGATGCAGTGGGGGTCGAGGTTTGGCCATGAGGAGCACATCCGAGAAGAGGAAGAACATTCGGGGCCGAGGCTCCCCACGGGGAGGCACTACCAGTAGCCAGCCCTGACGTAGGAACCAGCGACCTGAGGGGTGGGAGAGCTGTTACTCTGGTGCTGCTCTAGGACCACGATCCATGGGAACAGAGGGAAGGGGAGGCTGAGGAAATAGGGTGTATGTGCTGGCAATACAGAAAAAGGTGGGTCAGAAAAGGGCAGTTCGAGGATTGAGGAGTGGGGGAAGAGGGGGGTGTGTGCAGACTACCTGAGGTAAGCCCCTTTGCCTGGCGGCCACTGAGCAAAGCCTGAACACGCCGGAGGTGCTGGTCATTCTTCTGTCTCTGACCAATGCTGTGGACTCTCTGAGCAGTCTCACTGATCAGCCGGGCAGCCCCTGCAATAACATCCCCAGCCCTACTCCCAGTACAGCTTTGACTGTGGGTGACTGATGGTGGTGAAAGGCTATTCTGGAGGGGACTAGGGTTAGGGTCTAACCGCTTGAAGAGCAGGCAGGGCAACAGGGACATTGTGTACATGTCAGTGGAAGATAGGAGCATACCAGATATTGTTGGAGGTCAGAACCAGAAAGGGATACAGGAGAGGCAGCCTCCTGCCTGTGTTTCAGAGGAGCAAGAACATACGTGTGAGCTGTTGGTGGTCAGGGCTGTTGGGACCTGTGTTTTCAGCCAAAGCCATGACAAGGTTTTCATACCTGGAGTCAGACAGGTGGAAGTCCATGAGGGGAAGCAGAGCGGGCAAAATTCCCTCTGCCTGACCTACATATCACCCCCTACACACACTTCAGTTCAAGGCCGAAAGATCTACTTCAGATTATTGTGTCCCCCCTACCCCACCCTTTCATCTGGGACTCAGGCTCATACCCCATGGCCCTCTTCCATCCCACACCAAAGAGTCAGGAGCAGACTGAGCATAATTTGGGAGTCTACATCCCATGATGAAGTTAATCAACCCAAGGAGGATGCTACAGACAACCTCACTATATGCTCTTAACATCCCCAGGGACAGAAATTCTAAGCTAGACCAACCTCTCATCTCAACAAACTTCCAGATACCTTGTCACTAGCTCTATTACAGGCCCCTCACTTCAATGTAGAGTTCCACATTCCCAGCTAAGGGCCTGAGGCTGCAGACCCCAGGTACTCCAGTGGGTTCACATGTATTCTTGTGAGGTTCTTAGGAGCAGTTTGTCCCAGAAGAGAGAGAGGCAGTGGGACAGAAGCCATAAGACCCCACAAAGCTGAGAGCGGCAGTCATACAGACTCAGAGAAGTTGGCTGAGTCAAGGTGAATTTACTCACTGCTGGAGCCTCTGCAGAGGCAGAGGGAGCAGGTCCTGAAGATGCAGGCTTCCAAACTCGGGGCGGCCTTCCTGAAGTCGCACAAACCTCCGGAAACGTTTATTTTTCTTTAGTTGTTCCTGGAGTGATGAAGAAAGGGTTGGCAGCAGGGGGACAAGCCACCCCTTATATTGTACCCATCTGTGTGCCCAGCCCTCTGTAAGCTGTGTGCTCCTGAGAGAACCCCTACAGGGAACTTAGTACAGACCAGGGCACCCAGAGGGCCCTATAAATGTAGTAACAGTATGGATGAAGTTTGTATCTCCAGAGGAAGAGGCAATGTATGGGGCAAGAGGGGATGAGGGAAAGGACTTGAGATCATCTTCAGGTTACCTGCAGGGTGGTCTGGGACCTCTCTGCATTGGCAGCAAATTGGGTGTAGAGCTCCAGGTGGGGGCAGAAGCCTTCCAGCCCCTGTCCCCAGTGCCCTCCTTCGAGGTAGGGAAGCAGCTCTCTGCGTGGGTGAGGACAGTAAAAGAGCAGTCCAACAACTACGCAAGCACCACCTCATTTAATTCGCATAACCTTGCCCCGGAGGTAGTGGTATTACCCCATTTTGCAGAGGGAAATCGGGGCAGGTTACGGCACTGGGCCAAGACCACAGGTGAGTTAATTGGCAGACTCCGTATCTGAAGTCGGGTCACCCTCCAAGCTTCGTGCACTGCCAGAGGCCAGGGTTCTCCCTCTTCTCTTTCCCCACGCCCCTTCTACTCACTGGCTGGCGCCGTAAATGAGCTCCCAGGGCCCAAACAGGGCCTGGCGCTCCGCTGGTCGCAGGGTGCCCTTGGCTCTCAGAATCCCCACGAAGTACTGCAGGAGGAGAATACCGGTATATACTCTGTAGGAAGACGAAGCTAACGCCAAGTCGGAGCTAGAAACTGCAGAATGCCTGAGCTCCCTTTATGCAGGAGAGACAGTCCAAGGCCCACTATACTCGGGGTCAGGGACCTCCCATACCCTGGGGTCCCCGCCCCAAACGGGAGGGTGTGCGCAGCCCGCACCGTGGCCACCAGCCCCAGCTGTTCCTGGTAGCGCCGTTCGGTCTCCAGCAGCTCCCGGGCAGTGCAGGCGCGTTTCCGCTCCCAACGGGCACGCTGCTCTTGCACGGGGCACCGAGCACTGGCTCCCGGCCTCTCCATGCCTGGCTAGGGGGTCAATGCTTCCGGCCTCAGCCCGCCGGTGATTCAAATTCCAACGGCTCCTGGGGCAGGGCGGAGGAGAAGAATGCGCCCCCTGGCGTCGGGAGGCTCCGCACAGGACAGAGCACCAGCGGGGCCACCGAACCGCATCCAGTCTCTGCCATTACGGCCTCGCCCTACCGCCAGGGCGGCGCTGTAGGCGCGCGAAGCCGGCTCGGGCAGCGTCGGGTGGGGCAAGTAGGTGGCCCTCCTCTGAGTTATGAGAAGTTGAGGCAGCAGTCTGGACCCTGAGGTAGGACACCGGCAGGGCCTCAGTGTCCCATCAGTAAAATAAGGTAGGGGACAATAGTTATGGTACATATTGCCCTGGGCCTGTGCCAGACACTAGGGCACAGTCGTCCCCAGTGCTTTTCACTACTAGGAAACCTCATGGGTCACAGGATTGAATATTTTGCCCCCCTCGGACAAAAGTTGATAGGTTTTAAGTTACTAACTTGTTTTCACCTTTCATACAGATCCAAAACCTGACAACCAATTAGCTCCTGGTCAGCAAATGTCAATAACCAACGTGGTGGTCGAATTGCTGTAATTCGGGCCAAAGGCTAAAGCTTGTGGTTGATTAGTCGGTGCTACCTAGTCAAAGATAAAATGGACCAGATTTTCCTTACTTAGGTCTTTCAAAAAAGACCAGGCAGTAGCCCTGGAGGGTAAATTGGCAGTGCCATCTTGTATGTATGAGAAGTCTTAAAATGTGCTTACTCTTATGACCTAGCAATTCCATTTTTAGGAATGCATCCTAAAGAAACAGATATGTGGACAAAAATATGTATACCCGGATGGGTGGTACAGTGTTGTTCATAACAACAGAAAACTAGAAACTATCTAAATATCCAGTGGTAGAGAATTGGCTAGGAAAATTATGGTACAGCTATTTGAAGGAATAATATGAAAGCATTAAAAATGGTGGGGGCTTTGGGGCACCTGGGTGGCTTAGTCGGTTAAGCATCCAACTCTTGACTTTGGCTCAGGTCATGATCTCACAGTTCATGAGATGGAGCCCCACATTGAGCTCTATACTGACTCACATTGGGCAGAGCCTTCTTGGGATTCTTTCTCTCTTCTCTCTGCCCACCCACCCCAAATAAATAAATAAACTTTTTAAAATGATGTAAAAAAAACCTGTCAATATGGAAAAACATA